AAACTCCTGGGCTAAAGTGATCCTCCTGCCTCTGCCTCTTGAGTAGTCTGTGTTTTCAGTGACACAGTGATTTAGCTGTTCCAGCATAGATTTGTTAATTTGTATTTACTTGTTAAGCTATCAGATTTCAACAAATGCTTTTACTAAATTGTAAATACAAACTATTTCTCTTGTCCTGACCACTTTTTACTACCATTTCCTCTAGTGGGCAATATAAATATAATGGCTAGGGTTTTGTGCATTTTAATGTGCGATTAACATTGTATATGTATTTTTGATGTCTATATTTAACATTATATCTGTAACCCAGATGCTGCTAAACTTTGGGGTTGCACATCTGCCCATGCAACAACTTCCACATTCTTGTGGTGGGAACTTCTCTCCTAGCTGTGGTTCTGACCATATTAAAGCTAAAGGCAAGAAACCAGTAATAACAAAAGTATATTAAAATAGAACTGAATCATTTATTGTAAATCTTAAAAATCAGTTTCTCCTAATTATTTGTTGAGAATCATTTAAGAAATTGGTATGAATTAGAAAAAATATTTGTCTTAATGAAAACTGACAACTTTATAAAACAGGATGAAGACTGTTCTTCACTAAAAGGGCCAAAATTCAGATGCCAAATTATTGTTGTAGTAATTCCTTACTTTCATGTAGGCAAAGTTTATAGTTTACCATTTGTTAGAAGGAAGCAATTTGGGTTTAGGAGAATTCCATTTGTTCTGCATAGCGTGGTAAAATGTGCAAATGTAAAAATCCTAATTCCTCTTGGTGAAATGAAATCACATTTGGACTTTCTTAACCTTATATATAGAAAAGTTTAAAAGTACTGTGGAGAGAAGGGTATGAGTGTGGGGAAATAAAACTCGTACAGGAAGTTTGGATTTATAGCAGTGGTTTTTAGAAAGTGTTCTGTGGAGCCTCAGGCACGAGCTGCTGCAGAGGCCCCCGAAGAGGTGAGGGGTAGACTGAGTGTGTGGGCTCACTAGGGCCTCTCCACGCTTCCTAAACCAGAGCACCTGTACTTTCATATATTTTATATATTGAGATTGCATGTAAGATTTGAAGAAAGAAATTTGCTGCTTTGCCAAAACAAAAACAAAAGAACTTGTAAAATCATTTGGAGCTGCAAGTAAAATAATTAAATGAGAGGTATAGGCAAAAGGTTCTATTTCCAACTTTGATGCAAACTGTGGCTCTAGGCAAACCATTTCACCCTTAATATTTCAATTAACTTTACTGGGATATTATAAGCTCTCTAAAGAACAGTATTACATCGTTTAAAAAAGAAGTTTTGTTTCTGAAGTCCTTTTCATGATCCTCAGGAAAAATTGATACCTTTTTACTGCAAATTATACTTTTTAAAAAATTGGCTTGGATGAATATTTATTTTTTCCCAAACCCTTAATACTAATATAATTACTTTTGAAATTGGTTGCATATCAAAGTCAAGTCTCTTTATGAATAAGTTTTTTTCAGAAATCTACTTTTGAAAGTTTTAAGCTTTGTTACTAATACCTTGAAAATAACTAATTGATAAACTAGAAGCATTATACAGGTTGAAGGCAGTATCTTAAGGTGGAAAATACCACCTACTTCTCCAAATGGTTTTGTTAAAGTAGGAAATTAATCCTGAATTCTTTATGTAGAATAATACCAGCAGTTTCAAAAGATATCCCACTCCCCTTTCTTCTGACAGCTAACTGGGTAGGGCTGTTTTTTCAGCTACTTTCTTTTCTATGTATTAGATTTCCTTTGACTGTTTTAATCTGCTGCATCTTTTATGTGCATATATGTGTGTACATATAATGTTTCAAATCATGTTTCATTCTGAAGGATGCTAAAGTACTTTAGCCTGATAGACAAACTTCCAGTAAGGACTACTGTGACCCACAGCAGCACCAGACAGTTCAGGAAAGGAAGTGAAGGGACTGATACACGCAAGTAAAGCTGCAGGGAGAATATAGGTAGGTAGACTGTATAGTATCTGCTGAAGTTCAAGTTTTACAGGCATCTGCTATTTAGCCCAAGGCTTCTAAAAAATACTAAGCTTACTTTAATAAGAATCTGATGTCAGGAAGGTAGTATATACTGTATACATCTCATCATTATGAAGGTCATCCCTGGTATCTCATCACTGGAGTATTGATTTGATACTGACTTGTATAAAGGAATAACACATGTCACCAAAACTGTTTTCTGAAATATCTAGATCAGTGCTGTTCAATACATATAATGCAAGTCACATATATGTAATTTAAAATTTTCTAGCAGCCACATAAAAAAGTAAAATGAAATTCATTTTTGTAGTAATATATTTTATTTACCTCAGTATATTCAAAATATTTTAACATGTAATCAACATAAAAATTATTAATGAGACATTTCATATTTTACTTCTTACTTACTCTGAAATCTC